AACAAATTTGTTTTTATCGTTGTTGCTTGGTTTATATATAAGATATTTTTTACAATTGTTGTTTGTATATGATATTGATGTACGATGTTTAATTATGCATCAAATTATATTTAAGAGGCTTCCCTAGTGTGACAAGGCCTAAAAATGAATGATTTTTAAAAGGAAACTGACAAAGCAACGTGATGACCAACTTTTCCCACATATTTTACTATATTTCAAGAGTGCATACAAATTTTTTCAAAATTTTATATCTGTTATTAAAGCCCGTGCCAGCCATTTTTTTGAAGCGCCGTGAAAAAACGGTGATTACGATTGCAGCCGTTGTAGTTATCTGAAACAAAAAAGCAAAAGGATTCTTGATCTACTTAAGTGTGGCTATCGTTTGAAGCAGAATCATGAAAAAATATTGAAAATTTAAAAAATTATAGCTAAAAAACGTCTGCTAAAAAAGACGAAAATAATTACAATCGCTATAATTTTTTAAATTTTCAATATTTTTTCATGATTTTGGTTCAGACGATAGCCACACTCAAGTAAATTAAGAATTCTTTTGCTTTTTTGTTTTAGATAACTATAACGGCTGCAATCGTGGTCACCGTTTTTTCGCGGCACTTCAAAAAAATGGCTGGCACGGGCATGATAACAGATATATTTTGAAAAAATTTGTATGCACTCTTGAAATATAGTAAAATATGTGGAAAAAGTTCTTTATCAATTGACTTTGTCGTTTTCCTTTTAAAAATCATTCCTTTTATAGACCCTGTTACACTAGGGAAGCCCCTTAATTTGAATACTGATACGGAATGCGGATATACATGATGTTTAACCTTTGCGAAACTTTATTTCTCTGCAAAATATTTCCATGTCTATTATATTTCCATTCCTAAACACATTTCTCTACACTAAGTTGCCAATATTAAGAAAGAATCATTTTTGCAGAAATTATTTGGACAAATCATTAATCATCAGTTGCGCAAATTCTTGCTTCTTTTCAAAGTTTTCATTGTCTACTTCCATTCGCGTTGTTTTCTATGCAGGCGATAATTAACCCGTCTACCTCTCTCGCATTTTCCTTCTTCAGAAATATAAATGGATATAAATGAATATAAATGGATATAAATGATGTTTTCATTATTATATTCACTCATTTATCAGATTACACACACACAAACACACTCGAGATTTTATATAATATCTCATTGTTAAACTAATTTTGCAAACAGCACAAGATTTCCGCTGATTTAAGCGCTTTGAGCACACAAAATCTTGATAATGATACGTTGTGTAATCCGAACTCGCAACCTCGCGCCTTCTCATCTCGCTGAGTACTAAATAAATACTTTGGCCGTTTTAGTATAATAGAAGCTCTAAAACACACATAGGCGTATCAATCCTACACGTATTGTTGTCACAAACAAAAAAATGGAATTATTTCCAAGTTGATTAAAACTTTTTGAACAGTTTACGCATCGAAGTTTCTCGTACAAGCATTTTATAATTTTTAACACTCCGTTGATATTATTTTTAATTTAATATTACCTACTATTATTATTTTTAAATTTAACATTGCGCAGACACCGTGTTTTTGGGGCACTCACCTGGACACCCTGAGACTTTTAAATCTAAAAAGATTTTTGAAAGCATTTCTGTGTTACAAAAAATCTATAACAATTCATGTATCATCTTTAAGGTTTCAAAAAGTGATTTCTATACTTACGTAAGACCGGGACTGTTGCAATTGTTTTTTAAGTGTGTTAAAACGTCAGGAGAAAACTGTAAAATACGAAAAATCGACTGTGCCTTAAAAGGCCCACAGTGTCTGCGCAGTGTTAAAAATTTGGACTTTAGTTTCTTCAATAAACTTTTAGCCACAGAAATAAATGTTTCGTTACTGGTTTATATACATGATATTTTTTGCAATTTTTTTTGTATTTCTTTTAAAATGTAATATCTATACAGATTTTAGTAAAGGTCTCTTTGAGTGAGAAGAAAAGTCTCGTTTAAATTTGAACATGTCTCGTATCATGAAATAAAAGAGATATATCCCTTCAGTTCACGGAAGTAAGTCAAAATTTCAACAATTATAAATACGCGGACGGAAATGTAACATATTGATATTTGGATAATATTTTTAAATTAATATAATTGTAATAGCCCATATATTAAAAAACAAGTATTATATTATTAAATATGTTGATACGGCGCTATGGTTTGTGTAGCGCGCTGCGTCGCAATTAAAATCTGTTTATATACTTTTATTCTCTTCTTTTGCCTTGTCATCTAATTACAATGTTTATCAAATGCTTAGTATTACATATACTAGGAAGATGGCACGTTATTCTGTTCAGAGGTATCAGCATATTTTTTTTTGCTAAGTACGTAATAACCTGATGAGTTATTAATTCGTGTTTATATATAGCGATGAGTTATATCTCCGCACCGTTAGAAAAAAATATCACTTATCTCGTTGGAACTTACGCAACGAGAAATTCGCTCTTAAGGACCATAAAATACCTGGGAAAAGCAAATATATGTTTTTAGCATCTTCGACATCGTTATAATTATTTTTATGTAAAGTTTTGCAGTGCACGTAATAAAGTTTTAGTCATAACCGTAAGGCCATATGAAAATTTATCACACTAATTAAATAAATCAATTACACTCTATTATTTTTCGACCGCAAGGAGAATAACCGATTGTGATTGGTTAATTTTCTTACAGCCTTATGGTTACAACTAAAACTTTATTTGTTACGTGCAATAGCCTTTAATTGCGCAATTAAAATATCAACCAGTATTCGACGCAATCGTTGACAAAAATTTAAACGTTCCGCTTAAAATAATTATCCTGTTTAGCCTGCGGTCCACTTGACGCTACAAATGCTTCGAAACATTCCTCTTCTCTTTTCTTTTAATGAAGAAAGAAGGAGAAGAAGAACGCATTTGTAAAAGCATTTGTAGCGTTAAGTGGACCGCAGCCTTAAATAGACATTATTAGCACCATTTCCGATATTACAGGACCAGTAGCGGGATTCTGTAACTCCAACGACAGTTTCGTTGCGCAGGTATTATGTACCTATATGGTAAAAAAGCTGCGCAACGATACCGAAACCACCGAATCTATCATTTTTATACGAAGAAGATCTAAATCCGACGTTTCTTTAATCACTTAATGCGTTATATATCAGGTTTCTACAAAGCAATACAGAAAAAAATTAAACTGAATTTAAAGCTTTTTAGTATAGTGAATTAATTGAATGTCACAGCGCAGTTTATCATATTTGTTATTTTATCGTTTAAGAAAATCATATATCTTTTTCCCAATTTCCGGAAGGGCGTAATATAATTGTATATTATGTTTGTAATGATCTTCTGGTATTTATTAGTATGCATCAGATAGCATTCGTAATAACATCTCGGTGCAATCCAATTTCATAATACGCTTGACAGATCTAGTGTCATATTTCCTGTGTGTCATAATGAATAACCGGCTGGGTAACCGTGCGCTTAATCGCGCGTAGCCTCGCACTCCTGATGACATAACTGGAGACTAATGGAAAGTTCATGAGCGCGGATTGGACAATTTCATATTTAATTGCGGCATTCGATCAACATTACATCCAGTAGTGGAGACATGTATGTCCTAATTACATTTAAAAAAATCACACCTCTGTCAAATATTGAGTTATTTTGATTATACAGAGCTCGCATATTTTTTCATTATTAAGTATTGCTATGTAAAAGTCATTTGTGCACGTGGCAATACGAATTACTTTTTCTTTTACGTATATTATTACGATTATGCGTTCAAGATAGGATAATATAATCTCATGTAATGTTGTAAGAAAGTATTATTGTATTAAAGAATGTAAGTAACAAAAACCGTAAGACATATAATAATAATAATTATTAAACTATATAATATTTTACTATACAATATTTTAATCGTCACTTTTACCTTTCAGTTTACATTGAAAACGAGATAATTAATTAAAACTGTTAATTGCGGCTTTTATATACAATACGTACATTTTGTTCAAATCAATCATGAAAGAATAATAATAATCTATATTATATTTCTATAAGTGATTCGTCCTTTTTATTCTCATCATCCTCTTTATTCTCTTCATAATAATCTAGTAATCTACACATGTATGCAATGTAAACTATATATGTTATATGTCATATTTACATGGATTATCGAACATTCATATTTCATCAAAAATATTGAGAAATCGTGTTTTATTTGCAATTTTATTTTTAGTTGCTATTATTTAATTTGAGCACAATTTTTAGGATGCCACGAAAAGTTAACAATCGTTTTCAAGATTTTTATTTTATACCTGTGAAAAAAGAAAATAAAAATATTATGCATATTTATTGCAAGCGTGAACTATAAAGAGCTCAGTATATAATTAAAAAATTACTTTTTATTTCTGTAGAACTGTTTGCAAAAAAAAATACAGTTCAAAGAAATCAATAAATTACTTAATTAATCATTCAATTTATAGTAATTTACATATGTAAACAATCCATATGTAAATGTAATCTTGATGGCTGAAGCTGAAATTACGACACGACTTCAGCATCGGCAGCAATTTTACCGACGGCGCCGAGAGGCGATTGAGGCGAAGGTCTGTCTTAAAATGAGTGTAGGCGGCGATATCGAACGGGGAATTTTCGTATCCGAGAGAGCGAGACCCGAGACCCGAGGACGACCCGAGGCCGAGGGCCACGACTCCCACGTCCCACGGCAAATGCCGGTGTGGTGTGTGGTCGCCGTTTACGGGCCCGTCTGCGAACATACAAACCCATTCTCGCGTGCGTCCCGGAATCCCGGAAGGCAGAAACTCGATAATCGCGCTGTCGCGCGCCGAATGCCGAATGTTCGTCGAGCGTGTCGTTCCCCGGTATACGTTGAGTGAGTGAACGCCATATTATGAGCCGAACACCTTGCCTGGGAAGTGTGGGAAGTCACCTCTCCGTTGAGCGACTCGGACTCGCGTTCCCTCGACACGGTCGCACGATCGCTCGCTATTTCCCATTCCCAGGCGCGTCCTTCGGGACGGATGCGTATGCCGCGTATGCGTGCCGCCAGCGCGAACGAATGTAACGGGGCTCGCGATTGAGATCGCGATCTGTCATCAGCCGATCAGCCGTCCATATCGCGCCGCGATACGCTGCCAAGTTGATAATCCTGCCTGGGAAGTCTGGGAAGCGGTTAGGCCTCAAAGTATACACACACACATGCGTACATACATATATTTTGCGCGAGCACGGCTTAGCACGGTCATAATTGATCATAATGTTGAATGCGAGTTCCGCGGAGGCACGGAAGTTCGAGCTTAAAGAGATATTGTTGTTCAACGTAAGGAAGCGCCGATACAGTTAGATCAAATATAAAGAGAGAAAGAGAGAAGTAAGTGTGACAGTTATGTAAAAAGTATCAACAAGAGTGAGTCAACATGTCGAGTCGCAAGCTCGCCGGGAGGCGATACCTGCCTGGTGCACTGTGATGCCTGGTAATGTCAGCGCGATACGTGATGGTCCACGTCGATGTCACGCGTGGAATGCACTGTAGTACGGAACGTCGCGCGAGAATCTCGGGTTCAGTTGCTCCGCTGTTGTAACTTGTAACGCATAGGGATCTCAGATGCCGATGATCATGGCGCAGGAGAGCGAGAAGTATCCGCTTCACAGATGTATATTTCAAGGGGACGTGAAGACGCTGAACATCTTGATTAGGACACACGACATTACCGAAAAGGATAAACAAGGTTCGCCTTAAAATTGGAGCGTTAATTCCATTCCAAATATCTCTTATTCGCATGTAGAAGTTAAGACAATGAGAATTATTCAACTCTTTGAGGATGACAAGTATAACGAAGCTGAACAACTAACTCTTGCCTGTCTTTTGTTGCAGGAAATACACCTTTGCATTTGGCTGTGATGTTAGGAAGGAAAGGTACGGATACTTCTATCTTATTTCATCGCATTAGAGCACTTGAAGTATTTGTGGAATATTTTGCAAAATATTCTGATTATTTTTCTGCAAAATTCAAATGTTAATGTTCTTCATCCAAGTGCTCCGTTTAAATTAATGACACAAAATATTAAAAGTAATTTTCCAGTTGGAGTAGATGAAACATACTTTGTTTTGTTACGTTGCAGAATGTGTTCAATTACTGCTTGCACATGGGGCATCTGTAAAGGTGAAGAATCTGGCTGGTTGGAGTCCATTGGCCGAAGCAATCAGTTATGGAGATAGACAAACCAGTTCGTATAAAATGCAATTTACAAATATGGATTTAATACGCTACTTATTTTGATGAGAATGAGAATGAGATGAGAATGATACAGATTGTAAGGAGTTAAAGATCCATTTAAAATTTTGTTTGTAGTATCATCTTTATTACGTAAATTGAAGCAACAAGCGAGAGAGCAAATGGAAGAAAGGAGGCCGAATTTAGTTGCTGCGTTGCATCAAATGGGTGATTTTTATATGGAATTAAAATGGGATTTTCAGAGTTGGGGTGAGTTCCTCACGCATTTCTTTCGATCTTTAATTCATTGCAGAATCACGTTATTTATCATAGTGTATGCACCTGGAAAGGTGAATAGTGACAATCGGAATATTTGTTTCTATGATTATGGCATAATTTTTTTTGTAGCACTCTTTCGTAATATTATGTTTTTTCGCTTTCATGTGATTTTCTATTAACGATGTTGAACTGAATATTTTATTTCCTTTACACTTTCCATTTGTGTTGACTTATGTAAATTTTATTTTCTGAAGATAAAAAAAATACAAGTATATGGCCAAATTTATCTTTTTGTCATTTAAAACTTAACATTATAAATAACTTATAATTTATCATTTTTAATTTTTTTTGTTTTATCAAAAATTGTATATACTTAAAAATATTTGTGAAAAATTAATATATAAGCAAACAAAAAAATTTGTATATAATTGTTAATATTCTTGCTAAGAAAAGACTCTTGAGGAGGAGGAGTTTGTCAAAAATTCTGCTATTAATGTCTGATTCGGTTAAGTAACTTACGGAGCTTTTATTCTAAATATTATGCATATTCTTGATATTTTTTTCTGTTTTTCAGCCAATATAAATTTGTAAATTTGTAAATTTGTTTGTGTTTTCAGTGCCGCTAGTTTCAAGAGTGTTGCCGTCAGATATATGTAAGATCCATAAAAGTGGAGCTTCAATTAGGATGGACACGACTCTTGTAGATTTTAATGATATGAGGTGGGAGAGGGGTGACATATCTTTCATCTTCAATGGTGACCAAAAACCTAGCCATTCACTGACTGTCCTCGACAATAAAGCCAAACTTTTCCAAAGAGTGAGATATGAGGTTAACAGTTACTTAAATCCATTTTCTTTATATTTATGCTTTTACGTATATAGAATACAAAGAAACTATTTTGTATATATCCATGAATTTTGTTATTTATATACACAATATATTATATTTATTTACTATAATAACAAAGTGAATTCTAGACGATTAGCATTTCTTATATTTATTTTGTTATATTAATCCCACATATAAATATATACATTAAGATTATACATTAATATTATATTAATATCATATATTAAAGAAATCTTTTTTGTATACTTAGGAAACAGAGCTTGAAATAGAGGATGAAGTTGATATTCTTATGTCTAGTGATATTATGGCAGCTCAAATGTCTACCAAAAGTATCACATTTTCTAGAGCACAGACAGGGTGGATTTTTAGAGAGGACAAAAGAGTGAGCACATATTGTAATAATACTGAAGTTTTCTTTGAATCCTTCAGAATCTTTTAAAATTTAGGAATCAATTCTGAGATATTATATAATCATAAAGTAGTCTTAAGAATGATGTGATAAAACATAAATAAAGCAATATTGAAATAAATGTTAAAAAATTTAGGAAATGGTAGGTGCTTTTCACGCTGATTTTTACCAAATAAATGGCATGGTATTGGAAAGTAGAAAACGTCGTGAGCACTTAAGTGAGGAGGATCTTCAAAAGAATAAAGCTATTATGGAATCCCTTACTAAAGGCAGCTCTCAAGGATTTAAAAATGGCGAAGTAAGAGTTTAATTGCAATGTAAAATCTATTGTTGCTTTAGAGTTTCTGTTTCTTGCAATCATATATTAAATTGTAAAGCGAGAGAAATCATCTAAATATTTTCTTGCAATATATGTCAAAATAAATTAATTTCTAAATTTATCTATTTAGCCTCCTATGAGAAGAGCATCGTTGAATCCACCACCAGAATCGAATATAACGTGGGATGAATATGTTGTTGCTCCGCCTGGTCAATGTCCACTTCTAGGAAGAAATCTCGTTTATAAGGAAAGTAGCAAATCTTTCAAAGCTACTGTGGCAATGAGTCCAGATTTCCCCCTTACCGTCGACATGCTACTCAATGTTCTGGAAGTGATCACGCCGTTTAAACATCTAAGCAAGCTACGCCAATTCGTACTTATGAAGTTGCCCCCCGGATTCCCGGTTAAGATCGACATACCAATTCTGCCTACAGTCACTGCTAAAATAACTTTTCAAGAGTTTGCCTTCCGAAACGACATAGATCCAGAATTGTTTCAAGTGCCATCAGACTACTTTGAAGATCCAATGAGGTAAATTTGCTCACGATAAAGTAGATTAAGTACTGTATAATTTTATAGATTGTCCATAAAATATTGGTATAATTCTAGTTTACAATTTTTGTAAAATTGATCACACATTTTAGAATATATTTTCTTATGAATATAATTCTTATAACGACATATTGGAAAATTTTTATTTGACTGATGTTATAAACCAAGACCACGTAAAAAAATCTATAAAATATACAGTGATCTTTATTTCGAACCTTTTAAGAATATAATACGAATAAATTATATATATTATATTGAAAGCTTCGTTTCACGTATATTAAGTCTGAAGCACAATAATACATTTCAGAGGTTACGGTGCGTACCTAACTATGATGATGGTTCTTCATACCGCGTCATGTGCTCGAGGATAAACTTCAAGATAAAAATAAAAAAAAGCCTTACTGCAAATGTCTATCATTTTTAACAAATTTTTTGTCTCGTTAACAAATTATGTGATTTTTTTGTTTAATTAAATTATGTCAGTACTAATAGAATTTTTCATATTTTGGCTAATCAACTTTTGATAATTCGGGTGTAACAGTGGGTGTATTATGTTTGCTTGGTACTTTTGCATAAGTTTTTACAACTGCCTGCGGCATTTAAAGGGTTAATTTTTTACATTCTTAAAAAAATTATATTCTAAGAATAGTAAAAGTATAGTTATATATGATGCAATTTAACATTGTACATATACTCATCCGTCCAATTCTCATATCATTTTGCACTTACACTATAAACGACATTTTTTTTTTTTACTAATCATTAACAATTGCTTTGCAGATTTCCAGACTTATGACGCTTCGACATCCTAATATTAATCAAGATCCAGCCTAGTCGGGGTCTGTTTTCTTCTATGCTAGGGGACAATCTGGCTTTCGTGATTTCAGCCAGTCTGGAAAGCATCTACGCGAGCCATTATGTTGTTCATTGAATAACTTATTGTCATAATTTGATCACACCTAACAGCGAATAGTGTCGAATATTTACGGGATGTTCTCAATAAGGAAGTAAAGCTACAGAAGACAAATCTGTACTGAATCAGAGAAATTTGCATACTATTTAATACCTAACTCAATCATGTTTGTCTACTTGATTTGCGAATCCTATTAATGTTTATAGAGATAAAGATCATTATACGTATGTCGTGCTGCACTCGAAGAAGTATATACTATGTACATACGATGAGTGATACAATCTGACGTTTAAAAACACCGCGTTTGAAATTCCCACTATTTGACTGTGTTTGAGAATTGAATCAATGATTTCTCACACTAGGGAGTCTTTCTTAAACCCGTGTCAGATCACGCACCGATGACAAAGAATCGCAAATTGGAGATTAGAGTTTAACCAATCGGAACAAAGTTGATTAAGATTAAAATGTTATCTGTTGGTAAAAATTTAATCTCCAATTAATCCTCGATCTTTGATGCTTGGTCTGGTCGATCTGTCACTGCAGTCATATTGGATTATATCGCGTTAGATTAGGACGATCATTATACACGATTTATCTTTGTGACATACGTAAATTCTTGTTAGCAGCAACAGGTGTAAAAAACAAATAACTTTGATAAACGGTAGTAAATATGTTTTTATGATTTTTCATTGTATTATGTTCCATTGTATCATGATCCAATATGATTGCAGCGATGGGCCAAAGGGCTTAAAATCAAGGAGAATAGATTAGATGACGAATATTGCTATATTTGTATTCTACACTTTTCGCGAATTACCTATTTACTCTAATCAGCGAAGATAACTGTTCATATTTATTTCTTCGCTACTCTCACGAGCAATATGTATTTTTACTATCGGAATTTCGTAAATACTATAGCATTCACAATTGGTCATGTAAAAGAATATTAGTCTAAAATATATTCTTCAGTATTACCGACTTATAATTATATAGTTTATACTATAATGATTGTTAATACCTTTCTTTTTTTTTTTAGTACAAAACACCGTTTTTAACGGCTTTTTAACCTTGCGTGAATCAACGCATAAAGTCATCTTTAAATATAACGATTCGTACTCATACCGCATTCAGTACTAACCAGTACTAACTGTCGTTTACGTAATTCTAAATGTAACTACGTGAAGTGTATTTCACGATTATATCCACAAATCATTTTCAGCTTTTTTTTTATTAATTAAACTTTCTTTTAATGAAGATTTGATCGCATGTCATTCTTACCGTAGTTTTTTCATATTTTTAATACAAACATCTTGACACACTTGAGTATTATATTAAAATACTGCGGAAATAAATAATTTAAGTTTACTTCAAATTACACGAAAAATAAGAATTTAATATTTATTTGTATTTATGAGGATTAATTCACGAAAAATGATACCGATTTCAATTTTTTATTTAATTAAAAAAAGAAGTTTTTCTATATACCTGCATTTACAAAGTTTCTTCGCGCGTTTCTTTGAAATAGAATAAGGTTTATTTCGATTCAATATTTTCAACAGAATTTCGAATTTCTTTGTAGATGCAGATTTGCAGTATTTTATATCCATCACATAAGGTCATTAATGTCCTAAAACGGTGATCGGGTTTAGATGCAATTTTTAGCCTGATTTTCGTGTTGATGCCCATTTGTACTCCACTTGTCTCCCCTCTTCGCATCTTAGTAACAAACGGACGCGCCTAAAATTAAGCTAACTTATAATCATAGAATTATATATAATTATAATCGTGACCTTCATTACAATCACTTCCGAGGCAAAGCGTCTCACGCCTTAGTTGTGCGCGATCGGTAGCTCGTTCTTGACGAGGGTGATGAAGAGGGGGACATCCGACCACTTTGAAACACGAATTTGTGCACAGGAGTCCATTTCCTATATACGCCCTAATAAGCGCCTTAACTTATGTATATACTTTAGACATTAATGACCCCGGGTGCATATTGCGTTGTGTATAAGCGAGATGGACATTATTATTTGAATGCAAAAGTATGAGTGCGGGTTGATTTTCCTCCTGGCTACCGAATGACTCTCTCGAAAAATCACGACGAGACCTAGCTCGATCATGTTTTTGCGATGGTCTGGATTTTTCAACGAATAATAGACACAGATTTCGAAATAAACGAGTGGATTTTCCTTGCCTATTATTCAGTTGTACAAATTCCATTACGTTTTGTTCACAGTTAGGTTGATTGTATATGAAATAAAAGAAAAACGCAAAATATCAATATCGGTATTTTTGATATCGATTACAATCCTTGATCATTAAGTAAGATATAAAGTATCACTAGTAAAGGTATATCAGAGTATCAAAGATATTTAAATGTATACAGATTGCGTATGTATGTCGGGTGCTGTTACGTGCGACACCTTCCATCTTGTAGGATTTCGAGATTTCTAGTACTTTCAAATCCTTCTCGATGAGTCTTTTTTAAAACAATTCCCTTAACAAGCATCGCTTAATGCGGTATCTCGATATATAAATCCATATTGCAATTTATGTTGACAACATTTGGTGATATTTGTCTTTATATCATCCCTTGTTTGTTTTACGTATCTCCTTTCTGTTAAAACTTTGAATAATGAAACTCTGGCTTTTATCTTACACATTTTAATTGTTAATATTTATTGTTTTTAAAAAACATCTTGCCTTTTTAGAAAGTAAAGGTAAACCTTAAGATTTTTGAAAGTGATTTGCTCGCGTAACTATAATTTTGCTCGGCCTGTCAGTTCTGTTCATAACATGAATTTTACCGAGCTGTATCGTTATTTTAATAAAGTTTAGAATAACATCCCCTCCTATATTTTACTTTAATCTTTCTAAATATTGACGCGTTGCACACGAATGTAACATTACGTTGCAAGAAATTTTCAGATATTTAAATGTTTATAATACATCTCACGAAAAATGGAGTTATTCCAATTGGAAACATTTCTCTCGAATAATCCCAACATAGAACAGCCATATTGTGAGATTCTCGCAATATAACTGTTGCTCCAATTTTACTAAAGTATTCTGTGTGTTGATTGGGATTCCGTTATAAGCTTCTTAGTCGAGAATTAATTTGAGCTAATATACGGGCTCTCTATATAATATATATAGCGCAATAATATTCGACGATAACTGCCGATAGACGATCGAAGACTATTTCAATATCGTTATCCATACAAGTGGTTCATGATATAGTCGTCTAGAACTTATTTTTCTTTTTTAACATATCTAATCTTTTTTGGTTATATTAAAAATGTGAATTTTATGATTTCAGAAAAAAAAATTATCGGAAGGAAGGAATGAATGGTGTAACTTTTCTAATTGTAAGATCGTGATTAACTGATCAATTAAAGGGCACGTACCGATCGCAATGCGATGCAATGAGTACGAAGGGGTGGGTGGGATCATTACGCGTGTTACTTCGTGTTACTTTGACACGCGAGTCTATTAATTGCCGTGTATTGCCGCGTAATCCGAGCACGGTCATCCCCTGCATATGTTACGTGTCGCGCGATCTTGAACTACTTGCGGCCAATTTTACTTGCGGCCTTCCCTCCGCGGCTGACGCAGCCGAAACTGAGGAGTCGTGCGTGAACACACGCACGCCTAGCACACACTTATGTCTATCTCTATCAATGTAGATCAACTTTAATCTAATTCTTAGAACTTAGAAAAAGATAAAAAATAAGTCGAACCGAGATTAAAGTTAATCTGCATTGGTAGAGATGGACATTATTATTTTAAGTATGAGAACTATACCTAAGCAGTCAAGATGACTGATTTTTTAAAAATAAAAATTGCTCGAATTTATAACGGTGTATCTTCAGAGATTTTCCATGATTTGTTACAACAATACGTTTAATATATTTTCCCTTCATCCCTTTTTAAAAAATATATATATACTTAAATAGTAGGAATTAATCTGCATCAATGTAATATTCTAATGTTAAAGAAAAAAAGACTTAAATAGAAGAAAATAATCATCGGTAATTCTTCTGTTAAAGGAAGGGAATATTGCGATACCTAAAATCTTGTGTACATGACGTAAAAGTGTTGGTATATATTTATTTTAATTTCGTGTTAATCACAATGCGTGAGATGTAACAAAAGATTAATAATTAATGTCGATATATATCGTGCTGCTACATGTAGATGTAAAACAAAGCTTATAGGATTTAATTGCAACTTTTGGGCCGATTTTTAGTTTTAACGCCCATTGTCTCGTATTTGACGTTCGCCAGATGCGTCTTGCTTTGCAATTTTTTGTTTTGAACAATAAAATATATAATATATCTGTGATGTGTCTTGCTCTTAAATAAAATGTACTGAAATAAAAAGCGATGGAATGGCGAATTAATTAATATTATAACAATAAATTAATATTCTGAAAAAATTATGACTGTTAAATAATATTCCATTATTTATTCGTATTTTCTTAAATGTAGTAAACAGATAACTGCGAAAAATATTACGAATAAAGATAATTGAAACAAAATAAATAATACAGCTCTTTTTTTATTCATCATAATTATAACTTCCTTAGGAAAAAAATATGACTGTTCTCTGATTGGGAAACATTATGTTTGCTCCGTAGCAAGAGTGCATATATGTACAATAACAGAATTAGGATGGACACATAGCACCTGATAAAGTTTCCGGGAAGAGAAAGTCTGTTGTCTCTCAGATTATTGCGAAAGTTCCCGCTGTTTTTTTACATTTACGACATGTGTGCGTTTTGCGTAAGATTGACATCTTTAAAAAAAGTATAGTACGGTAGAATAACACGCTCTCTTTTATTCTCGAAATTAACGGAAATGGAATTCCATAGGAAGTAAGCGCATTGAAAAAGGAAAGCTAAGAAAGAAGGGTGAAACGTTTTAATTTGTGAAACACACCTTTATACTTTTAGTATTAAAAATAATTGCATGATAAGAAGAAATTAATTTCTCTAGCAAGCGTAAAAGAAAATAATAATATGATATAATCACAACTGTGTAGAAACATTTCTAACATACAAAAAAGTGTTATATAACATTATACTTAAAAATATATAAAAAATATTTTTTTTAGCATATAATATATAATATTAAAAGAAAATTAGTATATTTTTTAAATATATCTTGAAGTTAACAATTTTGAAAGTTTGAAAGCATCCGATTAGATGCTCTTTCTTATTTTACTTTTTGATATCGATAATTAAGCATAAATTAAATTTAATGTATTCTATTAAAGTTGGAATCAAATCCCATATCTCATTTTTCATTTTTGTTTTCTTAAATGTAATAAACTGCTAGATAACTGTGAAATATTCGAAATAAAGGAGACTGAAACGACATATGCTTTCTTCCATGTGCGATTATAATTTCTTTAGAAAAAAATCACTATTGCAAAATCCTCTGACTCGAACATACAGATATGAGGACTTGCGAGATACTTACATAACAACATCCTGCACCTCAGAAACATTGTGTGTGCGTATTTGAACGGAAAAATGTAAAGCGGAAAGATAGTTTCCATACCTTTGGGCGTGTCTTACCGATTGTCAACGTCCTTGTCAGCACGGCGGCTCCTAAGAGCGACCTAAGCTCAAACAACCGAGACCACCTTGAAGCATGAAGAGGGGCATATATTGACATGTTACAGGAGAGGATATATAGAGGTTTTGCACGCTGCCATAAGAACGGATTAGCTTTCCGTGTCTCGAACACTGTGTTTCTCCGAAAAATGCAAGTAGTGATATGAACATCAGCAATATGAAGTTCTTCTTTGTTGTAAGTAAATTAAATATTTTTTTCGAATTCGAGGGGTTTATAACATATTGAAATATGAAATGCCTAACACTTTCCAGCTTAAAAGTTAATTAATAATAATTAGCTTAAAAGTAAATTGGTACCTATACACTGACTGATTGTAAATTGAATTGTTAAATTTGGCATTAAATCCAGCTTAATTTCAAGTGTTTTTGATTTAATATTATAAATTTGATAAAATTCTTTTAATTTTTAAATAATATATTAGTAATTCTATAAATACGTGAAATGCTAATATATATATATACATTTTTTTAAATTATTAATACATTATACATATTATTATATTAATAATATAATAAATTATGTATATGTATATACTTACATAAATTTAAAAAATATATATTACGCTTACACATTCATAAATATTTGTATGTGCATGTGTGTATAATATATATAATCCTCTATGTATAATTTCTACAGATATCGACCTTCGCTCTAATTGCAATATGCCGTGGCGCAGACGAATCTCTGGATGAATCAAAATTGCTGACAAAACTAACGCCAATAATCGGTTCACAGCCTGTATATTCGGATAATACACATAATCAAAAAGATTTGATTGCATCCGCGAGTGATCGAAGTAAGAGAACAATAATATTTTATTTATATATAATTTATACATATATGATTTATGATTTTATGCGTGATCGTAACATTTATTCATTACTTATTTTTCCATGCTCTTATTATATTATTTATGGAATTATGGACTTATTTTTGTTTATGAGTAAAAAGGAATAGTTTCACTCGCAACGATAAACGATTAAACGCGGAATAATTCAAGGAGATCGCTAGCGCATGACTACGAGCAAACTTTTTTGATATGACAATTTAATGGCACCTTCGTTACATAACGTAATAGGGTTTATGGTACACGGGCATTATATTCCATACATGATTACATTAATTATTTTGTGATTACTGAAACATATAGTTCATTGCGTTAGAAACTTTTAAGAGTTGCACGAAGTATACGGAAGTACGAGAAACGCATATTGATTCGAAGTAGTTTCTTTGAAGTCTTGTGAGAATCATTTCTATTTCTTTCTGAGAGGTCAAGTCCTTCGAGTAGTGCGTTATATTATTAGCATCTTATTACAACTGGTGATGTTTTTTCCGCTTTTGTAATGGGAAGCGTCCGACTTTCAAAGTCAGAGCGTGAGAATGGCAGTGACACACTTACTTAATATGCTGATTACTCATCGCGCTATTATCTTACGTCGTGCAATGTGAATATGAATCGCGATCGATTATTATACCAATTACATTCAAAACTTCATTTTGAATTCTGCGCGCGTAACTTCCGTAATTTGTGCGCGTTTTAATTTCCATAACTTACAAGCAATTTCTAATAAACGCACGGTAAACAATTATTCTATTCATTTTATAAACTCTTTCAATTAACAAGAAAGAATGATATATTGTTTGCTACATAACTGTTCTACAACAAACTTAAATTTTAAGTCGTGATGTCAATCACTTTAATTTTACACGGTTTGGAAATTAAATATACTGATCGAGTATTAAAAATTGATAGAAAATGATTTCAATATCAGCTCGCGTAAATCAAGTACTTTAATTTATATCTGCATGCATTTCGCTATTTTCTTTCAAATTTTTACTTCACTTTTTATAGACATCATGCTCTCAAAGTCAAGAACTTCAAAAAGATGTTAAAAAAATCTCAAATTTCTAAGTTCCAGATCATAAAATCTTCTTAAAAAACTATTTTTATTTTATTTTTAATCGACATCTTTGATGCTAATGATATGTGATTTATTTACAAAAAATATTTGTGTTAGCGTTTCATATAACCAAAGGTTATCCTGGATCAATTGGTGGATATCCCGGATCAATTGGAGGATATCCTGGATCAATTGGAGGATATCCCGGATCAATTGGAGGATATCCCGGAGGATATGCTGGAGGATACCCCGGAGGATATGGTACGGGAATCATTGGATCCGTTTATCCTGGTACATCATATCGTGGTAGCAATCTAATTCCAGGTGGCGGTTATATTGGGTAAGATTTAATTTGATCACTTTTTTTATATATAGAATTATTTTAGAAAAGGAGAACATACACAGAGAGAGTATTTATTTAAAATATGAGCGCATACTTTGAACTTAATATTCCAGTAGATATTGAATCTATACTATGTATTTATTTAACATATTAATATAAAAATTAATGTTTATATTAATTCTCACAAGTGTCCGGTTTTTAATGCATTTATAAAGAAACAAACGGACAAACGTAAGCAAATAAAAGAAAAAATTTATATAAAAGAATAAAGTATATAAATAAAAAGAATATGCTCTAATTGTAAAAAGAGAGATAAGAAAAAGACAGCATATTGCATCCCGAGAAGAATACTGTCGCAACTAAAAAAGTTAAACTCATAAAAAGTATACCTAATTCCCTACATGCTATAATAGTGTTACAAGTCTATATGCAAAATTCGCCGCACGCGAGCAGAAGAGTCATTATTTTTTTAATAAACCGATTAAGTTGCGGTCGTTGGATGAATAGTGTAAATGAATCATAAGTGAGTTGACAAGTGAATCACAGCAGACGTCTTCGAAAAACAGTATAAGCTTCATTATAACAAAATGTCGTAATTGCAATTGCGTTAGTTATCTCACGATTCAAAAGCAATTGAATTAAATTTGTTTTTTCTCTCTCCTGAAAATTGTGAATTTTTGAGTTGTGACAGCATTCTTCTCGGGGTGCGATATATTTAAGCGACGCATCTAATTAAAAATGAAATAAATTAAGAAGAGGGAAATAAAATTTTTCGTTGCAGATATGGTTACGCAGGAAACTATCCGGGATATCCTGGCTCTGGCGGATATGGGGGATATGGAGGATATGGAGGATATGGAGGATCTGGGGGATATGGTGGTTATGGAAGAGGATATCCTGGTGGTTATGGTGGTTACGGTGGTTATGGTGGGGGCGGATACGGGGGATATGGGGGATATGGGGGATATGGAGGATATGGGGGTGTTACGAGCGTCGGAGGTTACGACGATGGTTCTTTAGGATATGGACGTGGTGGTTACGGTCG